AGGAAAGACCTTAATAAAGTAATTCTGTGTAGGAATTAGACAAACACAGGAATACAAGTTTCTGACATGCACCAGTCAACAACAAACAAACAATAAATAAATGATCAACAGTTGTTGAAGTTAAAGTAAAAAATAAGTCTTCACTTAAAAAGGTGACTTCAACGATCTCTATACACCCCCGCTTCTACCCTTTACCTACGGCGATATATTTTTTCTTTGACACAGCCTACGGCGCGAGATTGCTCTTTGACACAGCCTACGGCGCTAGATTGCCGTTTGATCCTTATCCTAATCCTAAATTCTAATCCTAAACCTACCCTAACCCTAACCCTTATCTCTAACCCTACTCGTAACCGCAAACCCTAACATTAACCCTAAATGTGACCCCGAATCCTAACCCTAGCCTAGGACGCTTGCTTACCATTGGACACAGCGTACGGCTTGACACAGCCTACTCCAGTAGATTCCTATTTACACAGCCTTACGACGGCAAATTTCTCTATTACACTTACCATGGTGCCGGAGGACCCTAGATGCCAAAGTGACACAGCACAATGCGTTATATTGTTCTTTGTCAAAAGCCTAGATATGGCGACAGTTTGATCATAAACCAGTGTCAATGTGTCGATATGTCGATGTGTCAATATGTCGATGTGTCAATGTGTCGATGTGTCAATATGTCGATGTGTCAATGTGTCAATATGTAGATGTGTCGATGTGTCCAGATTTGCTATTAAATGTAATGCCGATTCACTCATCAATAATCCGCTGATGAGAACCATTTCTTCAGTATTATCCAGTTGATCCGAGTAGTGTATTGCATATGAACTGACTGACAGGTATGCAGAACAGAACCACTTCTTGGTATTTTCTTCACTACAGGTGTTTAAATTGACAAATTTCTGATTTTTGTACAACTGTATATGCAGTCAGATTAAATTTTGGTTTAGATAAAAGGTTAATGAATAAGGGTACACATTACCAATCCTAGACAAACCTCATTCAAACAATTTTCCAAAAAAAGATTGATGTAGGTCGTACCAAAGTCTCGCCGGAACACCAATGTGATGATTAATTTGAATAACCCTACAGATACTACCTTATTTTGCAACATCAAAGAGTATTAACTCAAATAATTAATATTAACCACATCAAATTTATAAACATGAGTATATAAGAATTAACAAAAGAGGACTTAGTGTCAACATTTTAATGCTCTATCTAGTGAATAGTTGTCTCATTGGCAATCATACAGCATCTCCTATTATTTTACCATTATGGAAACAGTTGTTGAAGTTAAACTAAAAAATAAGACTTCCCTAAAAAGGTGACTTCAACAAGATGAAAGAACAATAAGGATCAGCAATCAACAGTAAGTATTAAATCCCTACTGAAATAAACCAGTGAAGAAACAGTACTGAAATAACACTGAAAAAAATCAGTACTGTAAAAGTCAAGACAAAAAAATAGTACAAATGTACACAGGGAAATTCTACGTGAACCTCGCGTAAAATTGACGTGAATTTCACCTCAAACAGACTTATACGTGAAATTAGCGTAAACTGATTTCACGCGAGTTTTACGTGAATCGCATGTGAAATTCACGTGAATTACAAGTGAAAATCACATGCATTTTTTTCACATGAAATTCACGTGAATTTTCAAAATAAAGTTATTCAAAATAAATTTATTCAAATAACATCTAAATTTTCAAATTTGATAAAATCAAAAAAAATACTAAATTGTTTTTGGTAAAGTTAACGTGAGATTCATGTGAATCTCAATCCACGTGAAAATTTCAAATGAATTTCATGTTAGAATCATTTGCACAAAATTTGCCGGTGTAAATATAAGAATCAGCAGTACTGAATTTACCAAAAGTACAATATTACAATTTGATCACGTAGCCGTTCATTACTGATTTACAAGAAGGTAGAAAAGTACAAGAGAAGTATAAGTAAATTCTTGGTAGTACTGGTATACTAGTATACCTTATCGTGTTTTCCTCAACATCACTCACACATAAGCGATTTTATTCATAGCTGTTGTTTAAAGAGCGAACTTATGACACATGAATAAACTTTTATCTAAACTAGAAAATTCTTCCTTATTTCATAAAAATAAACTAACCATGCAGACATATATTGACAAATGATCTCCGTTTACAATTTTGCCATCATGAAATCAGTGGCACAAAGCGTGCTCTTTATACAAAACGTGGCCCAAACTCCAGTCGTGTCTAATGATCCTAAACCTAACAAAAAATATTTGTTCAGCAGAAACGTGCCCTATCTTATGTATTTATTCATTGACCTTCACCAGCTCGTTCGTAACCAAAACACATAGATGTAAAAAATATAGAGAACTTTAAAACCATAAGACACATAAAAAACAACAAATAAAAAAAAGATTAAAGCTTCTTTTTTCCATGTAATTTTATCTAAATTGTTACTGACGACTTTTTAATATTCTTTTTTTTTTTTTTTTGGGGGGGGGGGGGGGGGGGGTGTATACTTATTGTTAGATATCGTAGGTACCTATTTGATATTTATTTTAGGCAATTGAAACAAAAGCGTTTGTGCATAGTTTAATACCCGAGAAAAAAGGAACATCACCGATATTCTTTTAACCAAAATTCGAATGGCGATGTCTCCATTTCCTTTTGAGAAAATCAACTTTAGCTGAATCTGTATAGACGTTAGTCATGAGATGTCCTTGTAATAGATTTTCATAACAAAAATAAGTAAATGTAGTGTGAATGACAAAGAGACAACTAGTCCAGACGACGTGGATTTAAACAACAATAGGTCGCCGTACTGCCTTCAACAATGAGCAAAAACAATACCGTATAGTCAGCTATAAAAAGATTTCAACATGACAAAATGTGACCAACAATTCAAACGAGAAAACCAATGGCCAGATTTATAACAAAACAGTAAACGAAAACTAAATATCACAGATAACAACCAAAGACAACCACTGAATAGCAAGCTCCTGGTTAGTCCATTTTTACATATGAAGTTGAAAAAATTTTTAACCCTAAAATACTGGACCATTAGAAATATATATATTATGTCATATGAAAATTTAATAATGTCGATTAAAAGTGATAAGTTGAATACATAAATATAAAAACATTATTTCTAAAATTTTATTGTGTAGATAAAGTGCATTTCTTCAAGTAGATATTCATATTCAACATTTGAAATACTTCATTGTAAAACCGATGCAATTGTCAGTAGCGTTAGGTTGATAGGTGTTAACAAGTACATTTATTACATTGTCAATTCTATTAAAATCTTTATGCAAAAGTGAAAAATAAAATGATCAAATATCGATACAAATGAATACAAATAGCACATGGTCTTTTAACTATCTGCCCAGTTATCATCCTGTGACTCCCATATCCGTTCGAATCACCAGTCGAGGCTCTGATTCGGGTCGAGGGACTATAACCGGCCGAATATGGCAAGGCACTATATCAATCTGTTTATAATGTGCTTTCGTTGGACTTGATAGCTTATCAGCCCGTGATATGCTGAAATGGACTTCTTCATTTCGGCTTTTCTGTAAAGTATGTGATAAATCAGTATATTTTATATAACATTGCAATTCGGAACTATACTATGGATTAATTCACTGAATTGTTAAATTATTTCTGTGTGAAAATTACTACTTTAAACCAAAAATAATAAACAAATAAATAAAGGTATAAAATATTGAATAGAGAAATTACAATCTGAATGTACTTTACTGTATACCCATAAAAAATAAGTCCTTTTTTACTATATAGATTCTAATATAAATGTTAATTTTAGACTTACCAAACACGACTGGTTTGGGTTCATGTTGAAGATTAAAATGTCAATGTGAAGAAAGCTTTTATCAAGTTTTGTTTTGCAGAAATCGTTACAATACAGTTTTAACCATTATCAGGAACACTGAGTGGGATTTTTCGGAAAGCCAATGGTGTATATAAATGTATGAAAATAGATACTGCCTAAATTTTGATAAATGTTCACTTATATTTATACATTATTTTTACAAAACTTGACAGTTTTCACTCAATGAAATACAAATCAAAAACGCTTTCTTAGAGGCACGGTAGGTCTGTTTTTAGATTTATCTACAATACACGTGTTAGTCCCCACGTGTACATAAATAATTGGCGCATTAGTTAAAACTTTGGTACTAGTATTTATTTATAAGTACAAGAAGATATTGGGTGAACGTCAACGGTATAGCAAACCTTACAACACAAACAACTGAAGAAAATGTTTTTGTCAAAAAGTAAGTGCCAAAGAACAGACTAATGGGCCAAAAGTCCAGACTTATTGGCCAAAGCATAGAAAAATGGGCCAGATCACTGACTTATGGACAAAAGCACAGACTAACGGGTCAAAGCTACTTGTACCAGCGGGGAATTACTCATCAATAGATATTATCATACATTATCATAAAATTGATAATGGAAATGGGGAATGTCTAAGAGACAACAACCCGACCAAAGAGCAGAAAACAGCCCAAAGCCACTAATGGGTCTTCAACATAGAGAGAAATCCCGCACCGGAGGCGGGCTTCAACTGACCCCTAAAAAAATGTGTACTAGTTCAGTGAAAATGAACGTCACACTAAACTCCGAAACATATAAATAAAGTAAAATTAAAAAATCATAAAAGACTAACAAAGGCCAGAGGCTCCTGACTTGGGACAGGCGTAAAAATGCGGCGGGATTAAACATGTTTTGTGAGATCTCAACCCTCCCCCTAGAATAAAGAAACACACAGCAATACGCACAGTAAAACTCAGTTTAAAAGAAGTCCGAGTCATACATTTTAACCATCACCAGGTACGCTTAATGCGATTTTTCAGAAAGCCAAATGTGTACATTTACACACGAGAGTAGAGATTGATATATTTGTTAGCTTGTATTTTTATCAACTTTTCATCAAAGCCTAACGGGTTTTTTTTCCTCCATTATAGAAAGATCACATTAAAAATTGTTTCTGCACACATCTTAATTAAATCACTCCTGCAAATTAAAAATTTGATAGTCCAACGGGGATTGTCACACATTTATTGGTAATAAATCAATAACGTACATTTTTTTCAGTCATTATTCTTCAAAATAGACTAGTTCTAAGCAATTCTGTTTGGCGTTACTGTAACTGTGTTAGTCGTTACTGAAGATATGTTAGGCGTTACTGCAATTGTATTAGGCGTTACTGCAGATACGTTAGGCGTTACTGAAGATATGTTGGGCGTTACTGCAATTGTATTAGGCGTTACTGAATGTTCTTTTTCTTTAGAGATTCCAAATGATCTGAAACATGGAACCATTTCTGAAAAGTTTTTCCTAAATCTCGTACTGTTATATGCGTACAGAAAAGGATTCATGGCTGCTTTGGACCATAGAACCCAGTTAAAAACTTCATAGAGATCTGTGTTGACACAATCCTCACAGAATGCTATGATGATCGTGGTGACAGTATATGGCACCCATGTAACGAAGAACACTACGATCAAGGCTGCTAAAAATCGGACAGCTTTAACTTCACGTTTAGGCTTGCCATTGGTGTGATTTGACGGCTTGCTTGGAATAACACCGACGACATTTCTCTTTCTTATTTCGTTATAAATAACACCGTTAACTATTACAATACAACAAAACGGAATCCCAAATTCTATAAATGCCGTGGCAGTGGTAAATGCTTTGTCATGGGCAAACTGTACGTCACAATCTTCATCTTCAACGATATTTTCATCCGTCCAAATATCCCATCCGATTATTGCTGGTCCATACAACAGGAATGCCAACAACCACGTGACACCGATCTGTATATAGGCCTTTTTCATTGTGACTTTTAAAGAATAATGAGGTCCAAATTTTAACAACAGTAACCGATCTATGCTGATAACTATCATCATTAATACTGATTCTAGACATAGAGTAAAATCTATAGTCATGTAAGCTTTACAGAAATGGTAACCAAATGGCCATGTGTATGTTTCCAGTGTATACACGGCGTAAAACGGCATGCTAATTATACTCAGTAGAATGTCCGTCACCGCGAGATTTAATAGAAACGCGTTGTAGACAGAGTGAAGTTGTTTATCACGGACATAGGCTAAGATTGTCAATAGGTTTCCAACAAAGCCAAAAAATACGCAGATAGATATAATGATGCCGAATATTACCACTAAATATAACGAAAATAGAATATCCTCCTCTTCCTCTGTTTCTGTTGTATTGGTCATTCTGCAGGACTTATTACACTGAAAACAAAAATCACAGACAAATTGTATTGGTCATTCTGCAGGACTTATTACACTGAAAAACAAAACTCACAGACACATTGTATTGGTCATTCTGCAGGAATTATTACACTGAAAACAAAAATTACAGACAAATTGTATTGGTCATTCTGCAGGAATTATTACACTGAAAACAAAAATTACAGACAAACTGTATTGGTCATTCTGCAGGAATTATTACACTGAAATTCATCATGTTCCATTTTTATATTTTTCTTAAGGACAAGGTGTTCTCCAATTTATTTTCTGGAATTAGTAAAAACAACATTTGAATGACATTACTCTAAGAAAATATTTAATTTTGTGTGTGATTTTTTTAACGTCAGTATGGATGTCAGACTGTAGGAACATTAGCTGGGAGAAAAAAAAAAATAAAAACAAATAGTTTTTTGCAGATTGTGGATCTCTGAGATGTGCGATATTTCATCAAATACTTTGTCTCTTCATATTGTGTTTTGTGTTTCCTCAAAACCGGTTAATCTACTCAAATTCCATTTTGTCAACCAGGAAAATAAGTCAGTAGACTTTTTCAAGTTGGGCAGCCAAAATAATTTGAGACTCTTATTATTCTATTATTTCGTCAACGATAGTTTTCCTTTGTAAAAAATAACTCTCTGTATAAGTATGCAGACGACAAAGAGGGTATCTACGGGTGTCACCCCATCTGCCCTTTTTTTAGGCTAGCAATAATGGTGCACCATATAATAGTGTTCAATTTATAGTTTTGATTATCTATTTCCAATACAGTTGATTTACCTTAACGCAAAATAAATGTACATGTATCTAAAAACCAACCGTGAATTATTTATTTGATCCCTCTGATTAGATTAAGTGAAAATGAATCGAAAGTTTTCAAAATATGTCGTTTCAGAAGATCTTAATATTTTTTCCAATAAAGTTTATTTTATTATTTCTTGAAAGTTTAATCTTAATTGCCAAATTCCCTTTTTTGCTCCCCTTTTCGCCCGGACAAATCCAATTTAGAGTTTTCATTCTTTCAGATTATTGAATATTCCTTTGGTATCTTTCGTCTCTCTTTTATTATTTACATCCAATACAATACTATACTCCAACATAAATCAATTTCCATCGAATTTTGGCCTTTTTACGGGTCATGAAATGCTTACGACTACTTTTCGGGGGGAAACGGCATAAATCAAGTCAATCCGAAGTACCAACGACTCTCAAGGGACCTATATAAAATTAAGGAGATGTGGTAAGATTGCCAATGAGACAACTATCCACCAAAGTTCAAATGAAGTGATGTAAGCAATTATAGGTCAATATACGGCCTCCAGCAATGAGAAAAATCCCTACCGTAAAGTCGGTTATAAAAGATCCCGACATGAAAAATACGAAACAATTCAATTGAGAAAACTAACGACCTAATTCATAACAAAATAATTTACGAAAAGTAAATATGACAGACATGAACCAAAGACAACCACTGAACTACAGGCTCCTGACTTGGGACTGGCACATAGAGACATGAACCAAAGACAACTACTGAACTACAGGCTCCTGACTTGGGACAGGCACATAGAGACATGAACCAAAGACAAACACTGAACTACAGGCTCCTGACCTGGGACTGGCACATAGAGAATTGAACCAAAGACAAACACAGAACTACAGGCTCCTGACTTGGGACTGGCACATAGACACATGAACCAAAGACAAACTCTGAACTACGGGCTCCTGACTTGGGACTGGCACATAGAGACATGAACCAAAGACAACCACTGAACTACAGGTTCCTGACTTGGGACAGGCACATAGAGACATGAACCAAAGACAAACATTGAACTACAGGTTGCCTACTTGGGACTGGCACATAGAGACATGAACCAAAGACAAACACTGAACTACAGGTTCCTGACTTTGGACTGGCACATAGATACATGAACCAAAGACAAACACTGCAGTACAGGTTCCTGACTTGGGACAGGCACATAGAGACATGAACCAAAGACAACAACTGAACTACAGGCCCCTGACTTGGGACTGGCACATAGAGACATGAACCAAAGACACTGAACTACAGGCTCATGACTTGGGACTGGCACATAGAGACATGAACCAAAGACAAACACTGAACTATAGGCTCCTGACTTGGGACTGGTATATAGAGACATGAACCAAAGACAACCACTGAACTAAAGGTTCCTGACTTGGGACAGGCACAAAGAGACATGAACCAAAGACAAACACTGAACTACTGGTTCCTGACTTGGGACAGGCACATAGAGACATGAACCAAAGACATACACTGAACTACAGGTTCCTGACTTGGGACAGGCACATAATGTCATGAACCAAAGACAACCACTGAACTACAGGTTTCGTGACTTGGGACAGGCACAAAGAGACATGAACCAAAGACAAACACTGAACAACTGGTTCCTGACTTGGGACTGGCACATAGAGACATGAACCAAAGACAAACACTGAACTACAGGTTCCTGACTTGGGACTGGCACATAATGTCATGACTCTTGTTTTCAAACGACAATAAAGGCATTGTGGAGGAGACCTTGGTGCATCGTATAGGATTTTTTTTTGTCGATTTCAGATTTTTACCCTAACTTTAGAATTTCATTTCTTTGATGTAATTGACGACAACATATCACTCCCCGCTTAACAAGATTAGTTTACGCTCGAATGATCATAAAAGAGACACAAAATAATAACATCAGTATATCAGATGTGGAGGCATTATGAATATAGTAAAAAGTAAGCTATTTTTTTGTAACTGAAACTATACTAAAGCTTATCTAAATTTCAAAGGAAAGACCAAATTATGCATGTTATTTGTCAATTTTCGTCGTGAAAAGTTGCGAAAACTTGTAATACGATTACTCTTAAAAAAATCTAAATTTGTAAATATCCTTCCAACTTCAAACAATTGATACTTTAATAAATTAATTGACAAAAAATGGAGGCACCATAAACAGAAATCATAAAAATATAAAAAAATCAAATATAGTAATTGAACAATTTTAAAATCTGTTAAATACTTCTAGAATGTTGACCTTTACTTGTTCCACCTAACAGATAAGTTCCACTGGATACTTTGTAATAAACAATGCCATAATATCTGTTCCTGTTGGAACAAATATTCTATACCCTTTATTCTAAGAAACAAATACTGTAATATTTGTTCCAGTGGGAATAATATTACAGAATATTTCTTCCACTTGGAACTTATGTTATGAAGGAACTTCTATTTTATGACACAACCAAGCGTAAACTAAATGATTAGATAATTAAAAGCGTCATTCATAATCATCTTATCCAGATCCATCTAAGGTCATATAAACCATTCAACTTTGCCTGGGGGAGTTGGAACCTTGGTTTCATAATAATTTCTATATTAATCAACGAAGGTATGTCATAAATTATGTCAATAACGAAACAATGACTACTGAGCTGATGTTTCCTTCGGGGACTAAAAGTCAACCAGCAGCGGTATCGAAATGTATCCTTGCTGTTTTGACCGTTCAAATATAGTATGTATTTTATTATGGAACGCCATGGCTGCCTTATATTGATGATCATCATTGCATGCTGTGGTCACAACATTATATGCAGTTGTCGGAACATTCTATGTAGTCGTGACAACATTGTATGCAGTTGTCGGAACATTATATGCAGTGGTCACAACATTATACGTGTTTTGTTGATGAAGGTGATGATCAGTGATAGAGATGATGATGATTGATGATTGTGATGGTGGTGGTTCAAATTCGGTAAACTTCGTAAATTTGATCGGAAATTGCCGAATCCGGTCATAATTGATAATGCCCCGCAAACAAAACGAAATAGTTATTGAAGTCATTTAGTTTAGGCAATTCGATTGAAAATTTAATAAGAGAAAAAATAATATAATAATAAATAATGTTGTCACGAATGCATATAATGTTGTTAACACTGCATATAATATTCCGACAACTGTATAAAATGTTGTGACCACTGCATATAATGTTGTTAACACTGCATATAGTGTTCCGACAACTGCATATAATGTTGTCACGACTGCATATAATGTTGTGACCACTGCATATAATGTTCCGACAACTGTATATAATGTTGTGACCACTGCATATAATGTTGTGACCACTGCATATATTGTTCCGACAACAGTATATAATGTTGTGACCACTGCATATAATGTTGTGACCACTGCATATAATGTTGTAACCACTGCATATAATGTTGTGACCACTGCATATAATGTTGTAACCACTGCATATAATATTGTGACCACTGCATATGATGTTCCGACAACTGTATATAATGTTGTGATCATTGCATGTAATGTTGTGACCACTGCATATAATGTTGTTAACACTGCATAGATTATTTCGAACACTGCATATAATATTCCGACAACCATATAATGTTGTCACGACTGCATGTAATGTTGTGACCACTGCAATATGATGTTCCGACAATATTATATAATGTTGTTAACACTGCATATATTGTTACGACCACTGCATATAATGTTGTCACGACTGCATATAATGTTGTGACCACTGTAATATGATGTTCCGACAACAGTATATAATGTTGTGACCACTGCATATAATGTTGTGACCCCTGCATATGATGTTCCGACAACTGTATATAATCTTGTGACCACAGCATATAATGTTGTAACCACAGCATATAATGTCGTGACAACTGCATATAATGCTGTCACGACTCTATATAATGTTGTTACCACTGCATATAATGTTGATCATCAACGTAACACGGTCATGGTGTTCCATATTTTACAGTTTAAGATGATTGTCATGGTTAAGACATTTTTGATAGAAATTGACCAAACAAATAAGTAGCCAAAAATTAATAAAAAAATTTCGAGATTTTTTTAAATAGCCTCACATAAGGATACAGTAGCCTCACATAAGGATACAGTAGCCTCACATAAAGATACA